TAAGGCTGTGGGATTACGGCAGTAGACCCAGAGAAAGCAAGAATGCCAGAACAGCTTGAGCTAGATGTACCAATGGTTCCCTCGGAGTCCTTGCGAGGCGAAAAGGCCAAAAACTCCTTTTCAACACGGCTCAAAGCAGGAGGGTTAGAGTCTCTAGATGAGAGGTTGTTGGTACTTCCGGCTGTTGAACCATCGGTAGTCAGATCAGGAACAGGAGTCGAGGGCCTCGAAGGTGAAGGCCCTTTGGCAATTGACTCAGGATCATAGACCTCAAGGTTCTCAGGTGCCAACTGCATACTAGCTCTGAAAGGCCTAGAAAAGCTCATAGGTGACACATGTTCAGTACGGTTACTCACAACCTTGGGGATTCTTCCAACTTGAGGAAGTCGGCTTCGTCGGCTAGCAGTGGTGCTCGTTGACGGAGGCTGTAGAGTAGGCTTCTTGGACATCAAAGTCTGCTGGGGTACAGGCAGCCGAGGCTTAGTCTTCATCTCGACGCTCTCCCGCCTTGGGGGTTGAGTTGGCTCTGCAGGTCGCACTGGAGAATTGGTCGACGACCGCATCTCTGGTGTGCCTTGCGAAAGCTCAGGAGTACCACCAACACTAGGCGACTTTCCATAAACCTCGGCAAACCTCAAAACATCTTGAATGTCCATGGGCTCGCTGTCCTCTTGTTCTGAAGAATCCATCATAGCGTAAAAGGCAAGGGGTTTCTTCTCCACTGGTTTGACAGTGGCCGAGACTTTCTCGCTCTGCTTGGGCTGCTGCGTCTGGGTTGATCTTCCGAACAAATTCCACTTTCGAGGAGACCGCGGCCTCTTGACAAGCTTCTTGGGCGCAGGGTGGGAAGACTTGGCCTCGTGTGAGATCTCCCGTTGCAGTTCGAAGTGGGACTCATCAGACATGACGCTAGTATCAAAGCTTGTCATGGGCGAAGATGCATAGCCTGACGTGTTGATGGGTTGAGGCAGCTTCAGGGGGTCATCAGGCGAAGATCGGAGTCGATGCACAGATCTTCGGAAAGCCAAAGTCGACTTCATTGTAGGGCCTTCAGAATCGCTGCTCTCGGAGGGGCGGCGAGCACCAAAGGCTGGGTGTGGAGTGCGCGACATGGGCGATGGCCACAAAGTGTTTCGAGGCTGATCTTGAGATGCTGCCAATGACTGCGTGCTTCCAAATCTCGACTCCTGGGTCGCCAAGCTCTGGGAGCTAACACTCCGAGAGATTTCAGAGCTTGCATTTCTATTCTCGATAACCGCACCTCCAGCGATGACCACTGGGTTGACCCGGTCTGCAAAGAAGGAATCGTTGCTAGAGCGGGGTTCCTGAGTTGTCTGACTACCAGGAGAGTTGCGCGTCATATTGCTGATACTTCCACTGCGTCTCTTGGAAGCACCAATGCGTCCATAACCTTCATGGCCTGTGCCAGCTACAGGACCCTTGCGGAGAGTCTTCTTTTCCTTCTCATTCTTCTCAGCTTGTGCTCCGTTGGCGTGCTTCTTACGACTAAAGAACGGGAAGCGTGAGAGAGAGGAGGTTGCCACGTTAGGGCTCGGTGTGCGTGTCATTCGAGTTGGCTCGAGGCCCTTACCCTTCTTCGATTCGGCTGTTGCCTTGGCTGCCGGTTGAGCGTACAATTCGCCTCTGATGGGGAGTTGTGAAGTTGATGCTGTTCGGCCTCCATGAGTGTACTGTGGCTTTGGGGGTGACAAAGCTGCTGTATTCGCAGATTCACTTCCGCGTCTTTCGGTTGATGGGAGGGATTGGGTGGAAAGATTGCTGTGGATGACTGGCATGGGGTTGAACAATTGAGATTGCATGTCGGGGGTGCCATCTCTGCTGGGTCGTGACGGGGGTACAGCTCTTGGGGAGGCGGAGGATTGGGCACTTCTCTCAGGGGAAGGGGAGTGCAAAACAGGTCTTGATACCTTACGCACCGACTTTGGCGAGGATGTCTCCTCACGAAAGTATTGTGATGACTTCCGTGGTGGGGGACTGGGTGGGGGAGGAGGCAGGTTCTTGGTCTTCTTCTTGATGGTGGCTTCTCGAACAGTGGAGTTCGACGAGGATGAAGTCAAAGACTCTCTAACAGCTGCGAGGCCATGAGGATCAACGGTGATGGCATCAACCTCGTTGGGGAAACTTCCACCAGCTCTTCGTGTCACGGGAGGTCTGTTGAGGATAGGGCTTTGTAGCCGGTTCTTGTTCTGAGTGCGAAGAGGTGCAACAAGACCAGGAGACTGAGAAGCAATTGAGGTTGGCGTGGTGTCACGACTATAGGACCCTGGTCCAGGTGACTCGGAGAACCTAGTAGATGGGCTTCCACTAGTTCCAGAAAACAGTAGGCTGGCTGGAGTTGGAGGTGGGAGATCATGTGTCGCTAACCGGAACGGAACCTCAATGCGGTGATCCGAGCTGTCAGACGGACGTCGAATGTTGCGATAACGGTCCAGCTCGGGGTAGATCACTGGTGACTTGGAAGGTTTCTTTACCTCTACAACCTCAGCAATTTGAATCTCAGCAGGGCTGCTGGTAAGTTCTCTATCCAGATGGAAGCCGAAAGCAGGATCGAGTGAGCCTTGGCGCTTATGCTGGGACGAAGAAGAAGAAGAGTCAGTCCTAGATGAGCCAGTCCGTGTCGTCTTGACATCACCAGATAACGATGACTTCTTCCTGCGCAGAACGTTTGGGTTAGACCTTGGGTTGTCCATAGACTGGGCTGACAATGACGATCCGGAACCTCCACGATGGTTGGCAGTTGATCGTGTGGATGCTGAAGTAGAAGAAGAACCCCACGATTGGGCCTGCTGGTTAAGGCTAGGTCGTGGTACAGGTTGAGGAATTGACGGTCGTCGAGTAGTAGGAGGCTGAGGGGGCCTTGCTGATGGACGTGAGATGGAAGATGGCTTCGGTAATGGCCGTGGAATCTCTTCCCTCCTTCCTGATCTGTTGAGTGGTTTTGGAGCATTCGAGATAACTCCAGGTTCAGTTCCCGTTGTCATTCCCGGACCAGGCCGTCTTATGCGAGACGGCTCCGAGGGCCTGGTCGGGATACCAGACCCCAATCTGTAAGATTCCATCTTCCAACCTTCTTCAGGATCGATTTCGTATACTTAATCCCATATTTCGCCGGGAATATTCTGAGTAGGTGGACGATATATATGAAAGTCAAAAAAGAAAGAAAAGTAACCGAGACCGTGAATCGGGAGAGCGAGGTAGAGTCGTCGTTATTAGTGTGGAGGGAATTCGTTGCTCTAAGAATTGGTGTGGGTAAATTTATCAGCTCGAAGAGGCCTAGTTCGTTGGGTGATGGTGTGGGCTGTGGGATGAACCCGCGTCTAAAAGTTTGGTTGACGGACGGTAGAGCTGGCGCTTCGGTTGATGTGATGAGTGTTTGAGGTGCGGGCTTTAGTACAGTAGTAGTGTCGTTCAAGGTTGGAGTGTAAGTGGAGGAAGTGAGACAGGACAAGGAAGAGGGAAAGGGTAATTAGATGAGTTGAAGAAGTTTAAGAGATGAAGAGACAATGCGATAGACAGGGAGACACAAGACAGTGGCAACACTAGAGAGCGAACGAATGGGTATAGATATGACAAGGTAAGAAAAGTAAGTACTGTAAGTAATGGTAGTCAAAGAGGAGATGGTAGCAGCGGGGAGGGCCGAGACGGAAACGGGAGCATATAACTAGGAAGAGGTAGTATTTAGGCAATGGATGACCTTTCTGGGGCCATCATCATGAGTGGACGACGACATCTGGTACATGAATACATTGAGGGATGGGCAGAGGTACATGCTTGGTAGGGTAGAGGACTCTGACTGTGGCGTTTCTCCTAATCCTGGTCTGGCCTGGGACTGGGACTGGGAGGTTGCAGGCATCGCCCTGCCAGGCATCGCATCTCGGGCGTGGAGTCCGCCCATGCAATGCGATGCGATGCGATAAAACCCTCCCCCGAGTTTGACTCATCCGTTTGGTCAGTGAGAGAAAATACTGCTGCAGCTGTAGCATCCATCGCTGCGGAGCACATTAACTCAAGCGTACTACTGCGCCGCGTTCCCTCCTTCGGGGTGCATATCCATATTGTCCTATGAGAAAGCCCTCATGGCATCTTGACGCAGTGATTGGGCATCACACCCTTGTAGCGATTTGCACTCCCAATCCTGGTCGCCTTGAAGGACCCTTGGTGTGGGCTATCCATAGTGGGGCTTCACAAAGAGAGAGACAGAGACGGAAACGTGAGAGAAGGATATCTTTAAACGACTGGTTAACCTTGAACTGGGCTGGGCTGGACCGTTGACATTAGTTAGTAGGTAGTTACTAGTTAGTAGAGTGGACCAGAAAGGGATGGGCCGATGGCCGCTCATCATGGACCAATCTTGGATCTTCATAACCCGACAAGTTGGAGGAGAGATAAAAGGGTGGGTAAACAATAAGAGGCAGGGCGCAGATATGGAAAGATAAAATGTTATCAGCGAAAAGATAACATCGAATCATGGTCTAATACCTCTCCCATAAGAAAAAAGCCTGACCAAGAACTGATGCGGGTGCAGGGTATATAGTCCTGACATTTGGTGGTTGCGTCCCGTTTTGGAGTTGGAGATGATGAAGCTGTGTGATGGAGGGGGGGGGGGGGGGCCAGGAATGGTATTCCCAGTGACCGATTATCTTTTCTCTTGACGTCTCGATTTCCAATAGCCAGGGATCACGAATCTATGTCCTTCGGCTCCGGACAGAGCCGTGGGTGTGAAGACATTGAGAGTTTGGAGCAGGGTATCACCATCTCGATGGGAGCAGGATATTGTCCGTGACTCCGAGGTAGAAACATGACGGCGTTTGTGCCTTGTTGTTCTTGTTCTTCAGCACAAATAGGTATGCGACGTCGTTGGATGCATATGCATGTCTTAGACATGCATATCAAATGTCTCACTTTGTTCCTCTCTTACAGGTTGATCTGGCCTGCATGTCTCTGGAATGTCTTGCCCACAGCCAGCCTCACCTTCCAAATACGTTAATCAATATGATGAGCGTAAGCAAACACCAGGCACCTATCGTCTCGTCTCGTCTCGTCTCGTCTGGTCTCATCGAGTACAGTGATCACGATTGCGAGTAATAACAAGACTTCGACTGACTGTAGTGCTGCATGGACCTTCATACCTATCCAGCGATGAGTGGAGCTGGCGTTCACATTTTTAGAATTCAGGGTAAGCTTTTACCGTCCCAACGGGCGAGTCCCGTTATAAAATCGCCCCGCATTGGGGAAAGTCTATCATTATCGGATCCTTCGTAGGATGATCTGACAGTATTCATCTCGAATTGTATATCTTTTTTTCCATTTTCGCAATATGACCTGAAGTCCAAGGCCTCGAATCAACTCCTTCAGTGACAGGACTTGGTCGTCGTTGGTCGCTGACCGGGGGTGAGAGATCCTGGGGCGAAATACACCCTGTCGGTCAAACACCAAGCCCCAGACCAGCTGCATGAGTTGCATCTGCAGCCAAGGTAGCGGCCAAGTTGGTACAAGAATAGCATCATGAGAGGAGTCCGTCTTATGGGCCCATTCTTTGCGGCGTCTATGCTAGACGCGAGAATGTTGGGATAGCGGCAGCAGCAGCAGCAGCAGCAGCAGCAGTGTGCACGACTCTCACGATGCTAGAGCATGATACTCAACACTCAGGACAGGACTCACAACTACAGCCTTCAACGTTCAGAGCCATCCCCGTCCCGCCTTATCCCGCTCTACGAATTTGCTTTGTCCCGTGAACACGAACGTCTCGTCTCTCGCCCTCCCTCCTATTCGTTGAAAATCCCAACGCAAAGCGCCCAGGAGTGTCAATCGCCAAAGGACTCATCGATGCCATTGGTTGCTGTTCAAAGATTTTCTGCCAATGAATCACGCGCACTCGCACTCTCTCGTTTCACTCCACGACCCGTCAGAATGGACCCCAGGATAATGATAACCCTCTCTCCTGCATGTTTTCTTTTCCTTGCAAAAAGTCTATGGTGAGTGAACGACTAATCCACAATGCGTCTCATCGTTCGCCAATCCTCGCTGCAAAAACTATGTCTTGCTCAGACCCCTGCACTTAACTATTGGCAAGGGGTACTATAATTCGGTAGAGGCGATGGCGAAGTGGGAGCTCAAAGTTGGTATCCAGCAACAGCAAAAACTTGTTAGTCGAACAGATCGCTCAGTCACGAGCGAAGCGAAGGGCGATTGCGCGATATAGGCCTACGTATTGGCCAACGTAGGTACTAAGGCAGACAGCCAAAGTTCACCGCTATGCATTGTTAGTCTCGTGACAGGCACTTTGGACAAGATAAGACACCACGAGACCAAAAAAAGCAAGCCCAGGCAAAACGGTCGGCAGTCGATAAGAAACGCACGATCCTGGTGTTTTCGACGTCATTCCAAGACACAAGGCATTCTCTGGAATCTCATACGTGCTGGCAGCCTTATCACGAGGTCAGGTCCCAAACGTTCGGTGAGAGTTTGAGCCTCTAGAGCCTCCGAATAGGACCCAGATCGGTGTGTGCGGCTACGCCCTCGGCCCTGTCTCTAGAGCAAGCTTGGCTAGCTGAAAGACTACGTCGTAGTGCAAGTCGGTCCAGCTTGGATAGTGGCAAGGCGAGAATCATTAATGCGCTGGCAAGGCGGCAAACGCGTCTTGACGTCGACATCTCGCCGATTGTCCATGAATTCTGGCATTAGTTTGCATGCCGTACCTGGATCAGTCTTAGATCTTGCTGCAGGACCGGCATGATTTGGGGAACATGTTTCCAAAAGTGGCTACAAGAGAGGCATCCCATATGCAGCATGTAGCTCCGCCACAGCAAAAATTTCCCCATACCCGCCACAGGTTCTCAGATCCTTGAGGCTGGTGACCCTGATTTCTGGGAGTTGAGATGCCTTCACTGACGTGGCAGATCGCTCGTGGCTGGCCACTCCGGCAGAGGTGAAGCCTCAAGCCTTACTCAGGCCAGGTCCCCCCTGTCCATGTGGCTTGTCAGTCGGCCGAGCGAATGAGGTGCCATCTGTGATGCTTGTCTTGTCCCTTGCAAAGTCACTCGAATTCGAGATCAAAGTACTCTCTACTTTGGGCAGCGGTGAATGCATGCAAATGCCCCGATGTGCAGCTTTGCCTCATTGACAACTCATCAAACTGCAATATTTGCCAGCCCGTGATGTGAAGCGATGCGCAAGCCCAGCACTCTCGGTTGTGAAGCTATTTCTTCGCTTGCGATGATCGAGCGGGCCTGGCTACACACTCGAGCACAACGACGGGCTCTAAGCGTCCAACGGCAACTGGAGTCGCTGGAGTCGGAGTGGTCCAATTGATTAGACGCCTCTACCAACCATAGCCGCCAGACGGCTCGGCGACCAGGGCTGCTTTATCGCGAGAGCAAGGGTTTTGCCCCCTTGATTGGCTTGTTGTCTGAGACTTGGCTCGAGCTTAGCGTTTGGGACTGTTGACAACCACACGATCAAAGCTGTTGGTGATGATGGTCCTATCTCGCTTCCTTCTTCTTTATAGTGTCCTTTATTCTGCTCATCATCTCACCAATATTGGCCATTGAGGCATGGCAGCCACTGCACGTTTTGTCCGGGTCCTTTCGGAGACTGCAACTATCGTCCGAGAACGGAGATCGTGGCTTGCGTCGTTGAAGAAACCATGAGCCCATTTGGGATTGCGGGATTAGCGCAGCCGCGAGTATTTGTTTCTCGTTGGTTCCAGACGTTTTCGAGCCATTCACAATGTGTTTCCTTGGTCCGAAGTGCTGGCCAGACATGTCATTCTTCCGATCAAGGTGTGCCTCTTCTCCTATACTCATCTTTAACGTCGATCTGCTCAATGGCTGCAGATATCTACGAATCGCCAGTACTCGGATCATCCCTGAACGTTGGCAGGGCTGATAAACAGAGTCTCGTGCTTTGCTGCAGATATGACGCTCATGCCGGACTGTCCAATATGAAGCATCAACGCTGAACTTGGATAGCGTGGTCTCCCACTTGCCCGGCTTTCGCTCACTAGCTGTAACTTCTCAGCTGTTACCAGAGATGCGCCTTTTCCTGAAAGAGGACTGAA